TGTTACGCGGCGCCTTCCTGAGATTCCTTGGAAGGGCGACGTAAGGCTAAGCAACTGATGTCAGTGCAGTTGCTGTCCGCCAACTGAGGTCCCCTCCGTACGCTAGACTAGATTGTCAGTGCCGTACGGGAAAACCAATGTCAAGAGAAATTGAGAGAACAGGAATGAGAATTGAGAATGAAAGAAAGCTTGATTGCATTAATGAAAGCTATTACAGAAAGGAAATGCGGTGTCGAGGGGGAGAGACACCAGTACAGAGAATTGTTTGCTTGCTAGAAAGTTTTGATTGTTTGGTCCCCCTTAATAATGCTTAAAAAAAATAATCCAAAGCTACAAGACTAGACTTGATTAAGCTAGAGAAACATAATGAAATTACATGGAATAAAACTACTCTATATTTACAATGAAAAAGACTTAGTTTGCTATAAGGCAGAAAACAGGGCCGTTGTCGGCAGCATAGTCTTTGGCATCAGGATCTGCGCGCGCGGCATTGTCTGCGCGCGCGGCGCTGTTGGCATCTGCCTGCGGTTGGGCGCTGGCGAGGGATATCGGTGGGGCGACAGAGGCACATGCGCGCTTGTCACTTGGCGCGACCAAGACCACGGGGCCGTCCGTGGCGCTAGGCATTGGAAGGCTTGCTAGGACGCCACGGGGCGCGCCCAAGGGGTCATGGGGCACGGCTGGAAAGCCACCCATGACAATACACATGCTGACACCCCAATCTATACATGTGTGGAACCTTCGCCAAATGCCTATTCAAAAGGCTAAACCAACCTTTGACCAAACGCGCTTGCATCTGGCATTTACCAATCAGTAGGCAGTCGACAATTCTCCTTCCAGAAAAGCTCAAGCTTCCTTCCTCGTCAAAACCCAACTTTGAGTCCGTTTGGATTTGGTGATTTAAAGTAGCTGATAGACATTAGGTGCTGAAAAATATTTTTAAGTATTGAAATTAATTAAAAAATTAAGCAGTTATGTATTTGGATAAAAATGCTGAAATTAATAATAAGCAGATGAAGAACCGGGTATATGAAGAGTTTTGTTTTAAAAAAAAGTATTTTAGGGATAAAATAATAAATATTTTGATCAAACTTAAAGTGCTTATAAACTGAAATTTAATAAGTTGGGGAGATCAACTTATGACTTTTGACTTATTTTTGGCTTATAAGCACTTAAATTATAAGCACTTTTAATTTTATCAAACGTGTAGATAAGCCAAAAAATACTTATAAACCAGTTTGACCCAATTAGCCAAACACCCTCTTTTTCTACTCTCTCTCTCTCTGCCTTTATCCCCTCAATTTCATGCATGTCTTTTGATTTAGAAAGCTAAGCAAGTAACCCTATATATCTATTCCTTTCAAGTCAATTAGAAAAACAATTAATTCCAGGAGTCTCAGAAATTTCACCTTTGATATCTCTTGTATTGATTCTTCATGGATATGGTGTCGTATGCTCACAGAGATGCAACGGCACAGAGACTATCAAGAACTAAGTTCCACGAGGAAAGCACGGCAAACAACTTACACGAAAAACCAAAAATTCCCCTTTTACCCTCCTCCTACTCCGACGATGAATTTCCCTACCCGTTTGGCGAATTGGATGTGGACTTGACAGAATCGGAGCTCCGGGAAACCGCGTACGAGATCCTGGTCGGAGCTTGCCGTAGCTCCACCTCCGGCAGGCCGTTGAAGTTTGTTTCCAGTTCTGAGAGATCGTCATCGTCGTCGATGATGTCATTGTCGCCGTCGTTTCAGAGGTCGGTGACGTCGACGGCGGCGAGTAAGGTGAAGAAGGCGCTTGGAATGAAGTCGAGGAAGAAGAATTCGGACTCAGTAGTGAGTGGGAATAAAAAGGGTTCTACGACTGTGGGTGAGTTGATGAGGGTCCAAATGAGGGTTTCGGAGACCACTGATTCTAGGGTCCGACGAGCCTTTTTAAGAGTAGCTGCTGGCCAGGTTTTTGTTCATCTTTTCTTTGCTGATAAAATTTTATTTGACACACTTTCCTTCTTGTACTCATCCGTTTCAAATTAGATAAGTTACTTTTCTTTTTAGTCTATTCCAAAATAAATGACACATTTTAAATTCTTCATTTTACCCGTATTATCATTACTTTTATAATCACACAAGTGTCATTCCCCACAAAGTTTTACCCTTTAGCTTTTAATGACACAAGTTTCAAAATCCTTTTTTTCCTTAAAGTGGGTGCCTAGTCAAACTACCTCATCTAAATTGAAACGGAGGGAGTAGTATGTAGGGGTGTCAATGGTTCGGTTCGGTCGGTTATTTTACAAAATTTGTACCATACCAATTTTTCGGTTATTCTATTATATATAACCAAAATGAGACTTTTCGAAACCGTCTCAATCATGTCGGTTTCTCTTCGGTATCGGTACGGTTCGATTAATTTTCGGTATTTTTTTAATATCATGTAAAATTCACCAGTAGAAGTAGAATTGCAATAACGTACGTTCTTTTATAGGACTTAACAAAACTCTCTAGACATTTTTATTGTTTAAAGGGTGAAATTTAAAAAAAAATATGGCTATAGTATAGATCCATCGACTATTCTACAACAGCGTAAAAGAAATCAAACAAAGACAAAGAAAATATTAATCACACGAGTTAAAAGATATACCAAGTTGGGACTCAAGAATTTTAAGTCTATAGAAGATTAAATATTCAAAAAAATAAATCTAAATTATATGAAAGGAAACATATTCAATACATTATAGTTTGCTACTCATAATTGCTAGAATACTTTGTGTCTTGCTAATAAAGATACTTGAAATAACTTGGTTTAAGTAGAAGTAGCATAATAGGTTTTAGGAATTAGTATTTTGAGTTTAATTACTTGTTGGCTTATAATAGTTTTCATAATTCCAAGGCTCAAAGAAAATTTAATGCATTATTATTTTTAAACTTACTAAATAAATATATTTTCTACATGTAAAATTTATTCGGTACAGTTCGGTTTTTTTTTTTTATAAAATAAAAAACCTACCCTAATTATCGGTGCGATTATAAATTTATATAAAAACCTACGGTTTCTTAAAAAGAAACCTAAAAATCGGTTCGGTGCGGTACGGTTCGGTCGGTTTGGTCGGTTTTCGAATATCCATTGACACCCCTAGTAGTATGTTTAGAAAAGAATGACACACTTCTACATTTGGAAACAATTAACTTTACACTTTCAGTTTTACCCTTAATGAAACTTTTAATTAATTGAGCACCCCAGGGCTTATGGTTCAACAAAGCCGGATGTATGGTAGGCACACGATAGAATGCTGAGCCTAGTATTTAAGTGGAGAAAGGGAGATGAGGGGGCTCATTGTCCACGGAGTTTCAAAGCTGGAAACTTCTTGGTCAACAAAAAAGGAATAAAACGATTAATTTGCAGCAACTGAACTGTACGAGTGATTTCAGATTTTAAGCAGGTCCTTCTTGATAGAATTGATGTTCTTTTGTCCATCGTTTCCGGTATAATCACATGACGGCAAGATTTGTTTTTTCTTAATCACTAATATATCCGTTTAAAAGATGGCCAACAAGTTTATTGATGTCTTTCAGAAACCACATTTTTGGTTTCCTTGGTTATAATTGATAGGTTAAGAATCACAGAACGAATGATTCTTATGGGCAGTACGATGAGTATGTGTAGCGCTTGACGAAAAAGCGGTAAAGAAAATACAAGAAGAGTCTTAAAAAGGATTTTTCATTGACAAAAGATGGAAATTAAACTAATTCCTTATATATTAGTACTAAATTCCTCCGGACAAGTGTACTGATCCAATCATAAATCAACACCCTAGTACTATTTCCCAACGGATAAAAAGCTGGCAAGACAAGTATCATTATAAAGGGCTAGGCCATACTTTTTTAGGTAAGCATAATAGCTAAAAACCTAAGGGACAAATGATAATATGAAACTATTCTTATTTCTGGATTTGGGCCCAACTCCATTGACCTTTCTCTTCATTTCGTCTTCATTCATTTCAAGCTGAGCGGATAGTCCGTTCCGCTACTTCCCGCCCCCTTTGAGAATGTTGACAATCAAGGTTGAAATTTTGAAAATTGAGAAGTGAGGAAGGAATAATCCTCCCAAGTAGCATCCTCCGAAGCTAAGTTGGTCCACTGAACCAGCACTTGGGTTACCACCCGAGCTGCCGGCTTGGCACAAAAGTTGATCATTTGGTTTGCTCAAGGGCGAATCTTTTGCTGGAAAAATATTTGGCCCAAGCTTCTTTTTCAGTTGGGACACGTAAAAGACCAGATGAATTTGGGATTCACTGGGAAGCTGGAGCTCATATGCCAGTGGACTAATCTTCTTGACTACATGGTAAGGTCCATAGAATTTAGAGGCTAATTTCAGATTCTTCCTTAATGCAACTGATGTTTGCCTGCAGGGCTGTAGTTTGATGAAAACCATATCCCCTACCTCAAAAACCCTCTCACTCCTTTTACTATCTGCATATTGTTTCATTCGAAGCTGAGCCTTGACCAGATTCTCCTTTAATTGCTTGTTCACCATTTGTCTTTGCTTTAGCATTTGATCAACTGTTCCCACGTTAGATTGTGTGGCTGAGGAGGTTCATATCCATAGAGAGCCTGAAATATGGTCATACCAATTGCCAATTGAAAACTGGAATTATACCAAAATTCTGTTTGGCCTGTCATGCACCTTAGATAGGACTCAAGGCATCTGTTTAATCTCTTTGTTTGCCTATCCGTTTAGGGGTGATATGCTGAACTTAATTTGAGTTGTACCTGCATGCTTTTAAAAAGCTCTTGCCAAAAGAGACTTACAAAAATGGGATCTTTGTCCAACACTATAGAGCAGGGCATTCCATGTAGTTTGCACACAAAATCTAGGAAGGCTTGAGCTAGTTGAGTAGCATTGTAAGGATGAGACAAAGCTATGAAGTGAGCCTACATAGTATATCAGTCTACCACCAACAAAGTAATATCTTTTCCTTGTGACTTTGGTAGACCCTCAATGATGTCCATGGATATGTGCTCCCAAGCCCTTCTGGAAATGGTAATGGTTGCAAAAATTGGGGGTAAGCCACATTTTCATCTTTGTTTCTTTGACAAATTTCGCATTCTTGTACAATGGTCTTCACATCCTTAAATCATTTTTGGCCAATAAAAAATGGATTTTAACTTTTGATATGTTGCGTGTATACCTAAATGTCCTCCCTAGGCTGATGAATGCATGTCGTGAACCAGTTTGTTCCTGAGGTTCTTTTGATTTCCAATCCAAACCTTCCCTTGAAATCTCAGCAATCCCAACTGGAATGTGACTTCAGATACTACTTTTGGATCTATAGATAGCTTGGTGATTAGTTCCTGGCCTCACTATCTCTTTCGTAGCTTTCATGGACTTCCTGGGCCCATTTGGGGTGGGTCACACTGAGACCCAAACATTCTAAGTCTGGTTGAACCACTTTGGTTCCTCCCCCTTCTAGACAATGCATCAACTATAATGTTTCTTTCCCCTGCCTATAATGTATTTCATAACTGAATCCCATCAATTTCGTTACCCATTGTGTTGTAATGATGTGTGATACGTTGGTCTCTTAGGAATTTTAGACTCAAATGGTCTGTCTGGATCTCAAAGTGGTTGGGCGGGAGATATAGTGGCCATTTCTCAACGGCCAGAAGAAGAGCTATGAGCTCTTTCTCATATGTTGACATGCCTAAGTGCTTTGGGCTCAAGGCTTGGCTCAAAAAAGCGATGAGACTATTGTGCTGAGAAAGCACTGCCCCGACGCCTAGTCCACTGGCGTCGACTTCAACAACAAATAGCTCCGTAAAATTTGGCAGAGCTAATACCGATGCTTGAGTCATGGCCCAGCCTTAGTAGCAACATCGTTCCACACGAAACCTCCCTTTTAAATAAGAATGTTAAGGGCTTGCTAATCACAATGTAATTTTAAATGAAGCGTCGGTAATAACCTGTTAAGCTAGGGAACCCTCATAGACCCTTAATGCAAACAGGTTTAGACCACTTTGAACGCTTAGCAAACAGCTGATGCTCAATTAACAACTTAAACACCATGCTATGTGTTCTAGATGTTCTCCTAATGAAGCACTGTAGACCAAGTTATCGACAAAAAAGGACCAAAACAAACTTTCTTAAATATGGGCCAAAAACGTGGTGCATTAGGGCCTGAAAGCTAGTTGGTGCCTTTGTAAGCCCAAACGACATAACAGTGTACTCCCACCGCCCATGATGCGTCTTAAAAGCTGTTTTGTGTTCATGAGCCGCCTTCATCCTTATTTGATGATACCCCGATCTTAGGTCCAATTTAGAATAAATTTGAGCTCAATTTAGCTTATCAAACAAATCTTCCATCACGGGAATCGGGTACTTGTTTTTAATTGTGGTATCATTGAGCCTCCTATTTTATACACATACTCCAAGATGAATCCTTCTTTTTATCGAGGATAACTGGAGATGCAAAGGGAGATGAAGTTACTGTCCCTGCTTCCAGCATTTCACGGATACTCTTTTCTATTACGTCTTTCTGCTCGTGTGAACGACCTTAGCTCAGTTGGTAGAGCGGAGGACTGTAGATCCTTAGGTCACTGGTTCGAATCCGGTAGGTCGGACTTCTTTGTCTTTCGGAAACAACCTCTCTACCTTCATATAGTAGGAGTAAGGTCTGCATACACACTATAATTTCACTCGGTTTTTTGTTGTTGTTGTTGTCTTTCTGCTCGTGTGAATACCTATAGGGTCTTTGATTAACAGGTTTAGAACCTGGTAATAGCTCAATTGCATGATCACATGTTTTATNGTTCACTGTTGGCCCCCTCCCGATTCTAGTTGACAAGTTTGGGCCACCCAATTACATTCTCCTTGGCATAATAAACCTGCAATCAGCTTGGTATCGTTATGGCCCAATCCAATGAATCATGATAACTTACCAAGGTTACCATTCTTGTGCCTCTCATGAAAGTGACACTACGGGGCCTGGTATGCAAGTTTATAGGTGCCATCAAGTCAATCCAGTCCATGCCGAGCAACAAATCACATCCAGCAACCTTCATCACACGAAATTCTAATTTGAAACCCTCTCCTTGCATCTGCCATCCAACCTTACAGCATATGGCAGTGGTAACCTAGACTTCTCCATTGGCAACCCGCAATCTCTTAGGTCTGACCAATTTTTGCACATCCAATTGTAACAAAGCTGCTAATTGTGGATCAATAAAACTTTGGGTGGCTCCACAGTCCACAAGCACCACAATTGGTTCACTTTTCAAAAGCCCCGCAAATTTTAATGGTATTTGGGCTTCAGCACGGGCCCTCCATCACACTAATCACCGCTTCCTCCTCTTCCCCGTTATTTTCTACTTGCGCAAACTCATTCTTTTAACTCCTGAACTTTTCCCTTCCTCTACTATAGTCTCACCCTCACTGTCTTCCAATGTTTAAAGGGCCTTGGTTTTGCATTTATGCCTCGGAGCCCATTTTTCATGACAGCTATAACATAGCTTTTTATCTCTTAGGGTTCCCAAAGAGGGTGTTTTATTCAAGTTTAATGGACTTGGGGCCACATATGGTGTAATAGCTTTAATGTTTTGGCTGGCTTTGGGCTTGGGGTCAAAGTAGTCCTGGGTCGGGTAGTGGAAATTCTTGGGCCTTGGACATTTTTATAAATGGCTGATAGTGTATTCTCATGGAGCTTAGGCACCTCCATAGCGTCTGTCAATGTGGATTAGAAGCTCGAACCATGGAATGTAGGTCAGATTTTACTCCACCCACAAAAGAATAAACAAAGTATGCTTCATTTAATGGGGGATTAATCAGCAACAGGTAAAAACGAAGTTTTTCAAATTTGTTAAAATAACTTTCACATCAGGCCACTGTTGCAGCCTATTAAAATCAATGACAATATCCATGGGCCTTATATTGCCATACCTACGACATACGTCCAAACAAAAAGTCTCCCAAGCAATTGCTCCACCATGCTCCATCATATAAACATGAAACCAGGTGTCCATTTTCTCCATGATGTGCACATCGACATAACTCATCTTTTCGTCTGTCGATACTTGATAAAGCTCAAAAACAATTAAAAATTTCGCACCTTCCGATCCAACCCCTTGGGTTTTTACAGTCAAGCTTAGGGCCCGCACGGTTTTGTATTTCGGGCCACGTCACCTCGAGCCCCAAAAGCGCGCGTACCATATGAACTTGTGTCATGACTTATAAAGCTCTTCATTTTCTCTCCATTTTCAATGTGGGATTCGCCTAATGTGACATGTGCACCCTTTTTCAGGAGCTTGCTAACCTAGAAACCTGGCAGTCCTGCTTGACCTGCCCTCAGTCATGGGCATCACACTAGATGGGCCTCACCTTCATTACTTGATGGTTTTGTTTATCTGAAGTGGGAAATTCATTGACATGGATTGGTTGAAAAATGGGATTCATTGAAAATGTGTTGCTAAATGAGTTTGATACACATTTATAGATAAAAATAGTACTGGAATGTTCTTTAAACTGCACCTTAATGGTTAGATTGTTTCTTGTACTTTCCAGCTTGGAAGACGTCTCGAGTCAATGGTTCTACCACTGGAGCTCTTGCAGCAGTTCAAAACCTCAGATTTTCCAAATCCACAAGAATATGAAGTATGGCAGAGGAGAAACTTGAAACTACTTGAGGCTGGACTTGTCTTGCATCCATACTTGCCTCTGGATGAGACAGACACACGTCCTAGACAGCTTCAGCATATTATACATGGGGCTCTGGTAAAACCCATGGATACGGGGAAGCACAGTGAATCAATGCAAGTACTCAGGAATCTTGCGACATCCCTCGCCTGCAGATCATTTGATGGGTCGAGTCCCGACATATGCCATTGGGCAGATGGCACTCCATTGAATATCCTACTCTACCAAATATTGCTTGAAGCTTGTTTTGATGTGAACGATCAGACCTCTGTTATTGAAGAAGTTGATGAGGTCTTAGAAATCATAAAAAAGACTTGGGTAATACTTGATATAGACCAGATATTCCATAATATTTGCTTTTCATGGGTTTTATTTCATCGATATGTTTCAACCAGCCAAGTTGAAAATGACCTGCTATTTGCCGCTGATAATCTGTTATCGGAGGTAGCAAATGATGCCAAGGCAGTAAAACACCCAAGTTGCTCTCAGACCTTGAGTTCTCTGCTTGACTTGATCCTAGGTTGGGCTGAGAAAAGGCTGCTTGCATACCATGACAGCTTTTACAGGGACAATGTTGATATCATGCAAAGTCTTCTCTCTATGGGTTTATCAGCTACCAAAATTTTGGTCGAACACAATCCGCGCAACTATCAGAAGAAGAAGAAAGAGGTTGATGTTGAATTTAGCAGCGTTGATACTTACATCAGGGCTTCGATGCTCAGGGCCTTTTCTCAGGCAAGTTGGTCTTTGCAGTTTAGTTAACCTCACCATGTAGTACAAGCATCATATCGAGAACTCCAATTTGCATTTTTAATTTAAGGGGGAGTTCAGTGTTTTCTTGCCCTCTTTCTCAGGAATCTAGAATGACGCCGTTGGTACTTTATCTATATTTCTCATCTCAGATACCCCCCGACTTGAAGTGAGAGTTTTTTCCACTCGCACAGAAAGTACTTCCTGGTAGTGTAGAGCTTCATAATGATACTGATAATCTACTTTTTCGTGCTGAATGTATTTCACTCTCCTCTTCACAGATTGCAAATTAAAACTATCTTCTGTCCCCTGAAATGCATTTGAATCTTTCTAGCTTTAGTTTTCCCTGGCATTTTCGAACTTTTTCCATTTATTTCTGGAGTTTATTTAATCCTTCTAACTTTCATGATTTGGTCTAAGTTAATTCTTGCTCCATTGATGGAAAAAGTGACTAACTCGGCCTACTCTGCCTAAAGACAGGAAAAGGAGAGGTTGATATCAAGCAGAAAGTCCTCTAAAAAACAGCAGAGTTCACTTCCCATCCTTTCCATCCTGGCCCAAAATGTTACTGATCTGGCTTTCAATGAGAAGGAAATATATAGTGCTGTTCTGAAGAGATGGCACCCTATTGCAACTGGTGTAGCTGTTGCTACACTTCATGCTTGCTATGGAAGTGAGCTGAAGAAATTTGTTTCGGGGATAAGTGAGTTGACTCCAGATGCTCTACAGGTGCTGATAGCAGCTGACAAGCTGGAGAAAGATCTTGTACAGATGGCTGTTGCGGATGCTGTTGACAGTGAAGATGGAGGAAAGTCATTAATTAAAGAGATGACTCCTTATGAAGTTGAAGCTGTGATAGCAAACCTGGTGAAATCATGGATAAGGACTAGAATAGACAGACTTAAGGAATGGGTCAACAGGAATCTGCAACAAGAGGTATGTCTCCTTCTCCTGTTGTTTCTTTATTTTAGTGATCAGTTGCTGGCTTGTACTAATGTCTGGTGCCATGGACCGTCACCATTGTGCTAAACACTCTATCATCATATTCGGCATTAAGAAGCTGAAGGATTTGGGATTACGGTGTTGAAAATATTTCTTTCAGGTTGTGAAATTCTTTTCCTGTAATTCCCTAATGTTTTGACACTACCCCTTGAGTGATAGCACAAAAGGGAAGAGGGCGAGCCCGTTTCCTTCAACAAAAGTATACCCAGTATTATACACCTAATCTGTAATTTGTGTCTTATCTGCTAGTCTAAGATTTTCCTTCAGTCAACTGGTATGCCTGGAAGCTGCCTCTCAATCCAAAAGGGAGAAAATTAATGGGATCTGTCTTCATCTTTGTTTTTGGCTCTCATTGCCTCACCTTCCCCGACCCCCACCCCCCGGGGGGGAGGGAGGGAGTCCCAATTTAACTATTCTAATGGCACCGATTAGCGAATATTTTTGTAAGACCTCTTTATGGGAGCTTGAAATGCGTGGAGGTGATTGTGCTGTTTCTTCCTTTATATGTTGACTTCTTTAATGATGTCTGACCTAAATCTTTACATTGACTACTTGAATCATCTGAAATTAAAGGGCAGCCTGGTGCACAAGGCATCCTGCGAAAGCATGAAATGCGGGATGCCTTGTGCACCGGGCTGCCCTTTATTTCAGATGATTCAAGTAGTCAATGCAAAGATTTAGGCCCAACATCATTAAAGAAGTCAACTTATAAAGGAAGCAACATCGCCTGAAATTGGAAAAGGAAAATGGATATGGTCTGCCCATGCTGCTTGGTCATGCTGTATACAAACCTTAAACACACAGCTAAGTAGTACAACATGACCTGACCTTTTGCCTTCTTTTGTAGGTCTGGAACCCTCATGCAAATAAAGAGCGATTTGCTCCCTCTGGAGTGGAGGTCCTACGCAGCATAGATGAGACTTTCGAAGCATTCTTTTTGTTACCAATACCTATGCATCCAGCTTTACTTCCAGAGTTAATGAATGGCCTTGATGGATGCCTTCAGAACTACATATTGGAGGCTATATCTGGCTGTGGTAAATATTAATTTGGCTGCAAAGTATAATATGGTGTAACAGTTACGTTATAGACCATTAATATCTGGTGTGGTTGCAGGATCTCGAAGTACCTTTGTTCCAACTATGCCTGCTTTGACTAGATGCTCAGCTGGGTCAAAGTTTAGTGTGTTCAGGAAGAAAGAGAGGCCTCCTATGGTTTTGCTTAAGAAATCTCATAATGGGACCACTAATGGAGATGATTCTTTCAGTATACCTCAGTTGTGTGTCCGTATTAATACTTTGCACTGCATACGAAAAGAATTGGATGTGCTAGAGAAAAGGACAATTTCCCAACTGAGGGATAATATATGTGTTCATGATGATAATCTTGTTAATGTGTTGGGCAAAGGTTTTGAGCTGTCAGCAGCTGCTTGTCTGGAAGGGATCCAGCAGCTTTCTGAGGCAATTGCATATAAAGTCATCTTCCATGAGTTGAGTCATGTCTTCTGGGATTACCTGTATGTAGGGGATGTTTCATCATCCCGAATTGAACCTTTCCTGCAGGAGCTGGAGGAAAACCTTGAGATCATATCAGCAACAGTTCATGACAGGGTCCGGACACGTGTAATCACTAAAGTAATGAAAGCCTCTTTTGATGGATTCCTGTTTGTTTTGCTGGCCGGAGGACCTTCTCGTTCTTTTTTACTGGCTGATGCTGCAATTATTGATGAAGATTTGAAGTTCCTAATGGATCTATTCTGGTCGGATGGTGATGGATTGCCAGCTGACCTTATAGACAAGTTTTCAACTACTTTGAAAGGCATTCTTCCTCTTTTCCACACTGATACTGCTATTCTAATTGAGCAATTTGAGCATGCAGTTCAAGATAATTTTGCCCCTTCAGCTAAATCCAGACTTCCCTTGCCTCCTACATCAGGTAACTGGAGTCCTACCGAGCCCAGCACCATTATGCGCGTTCTGTGTTATCGAAATGATAAAATGGCAACTAAGTTTCTAAAGAAGAACTACAACTTCCCAAAGAAACTGTAACCGTTCACATGGTTGGAAAATGAGTGAGGTGATGTTAGCTAACTGTAACACTGGATCTTGGATTAGGTTGTTCATATTAGGAAGCTGCGTGATTATTTTGTACAGAATACTTGTGATTTATTGAGCGCATATGACTTGACTGTGAGTAAGTTAACAGAGGAAGACGTCAGTTTGTAAAGTGAGATCTTGAGGATTACTGTCGAGGAGTGAAAGCATATCGTGTCTATGTGAAGATGTGGTACAAAGTTTATCTTATAGACGACTACATTACCAGCTGAATGGATGTCATTCTTGTTCCAAACCTTCTATGTACCTTTCCCTTTCTCCCTGATAGGTAAAATCCTAATGTTTTTTTGGATTTGTAGCTGTATTTTCTTTCTTTTGTGTCTTATTATGTATTCCGAAAAGAAAGGTTTCTTGAGCTTTTACCTATGGAAGTTGAGAGAAACAGTTTGGTTTTGTTCCTGAGATATGCTTAACTGCTTGAAGTGGGTGGTTTGTTTAACCATATATGTTTCTTACTTGAAAACTTGCATTGCCAAAATGACGTTCCCAATTTTAGTATGGCGAACTATGCTCGACAATGCTGCAAAAGTTTTTGGAAGTTCCTGCAAGTGGTCCTTTCTTTTGCATTCCACTTAAGATTCCACTAGACGAACCAAATATGTTTACTTGATCTACACTTGATGTTAACAAATTTAAGAGTTCCACTAGACCATAGCTGCTGGGAACAAAAGATGTGACTTGATCAACACTGCATGTTGATTCCAGATTCTATGCTACTCTTGTAAAATTATACTCTGGATCCTTATTTTGCATTTTTAGATGTGATGCATCATAGTTCATATCGCCTGGCTTCATTGAACGCGCCGTCTTGTGATATATGGGATTTATTTGTTAATAAGCATATCATACTTATACTTGATTGATTATTATAACTAGCGGAAGCAATCCCAATATCAAAATCACATGTAACCTAGACAACGGAGTTTTACGGGTTACCTCTTGAAGCGTGAACACAACTTTTCAGTCACGTGAGCCTTCAGTTCTACAGCGTCTCAATGGAATCTCCCCCACCCACATGATCATGATTCTCGAACGTTTTACGGTGTTTTACTGTGTTACCCAAATAATATCTGAAAATAGCAATTTCGTGTGGGCGAAATTCTCTAGGAAAAAGAGGCCTAAGATTTGGTCACCCACTCTTTCCTTCCTCTAGGTGGAAAGCCTTATGTATTTATAACACAGATTTTACGGGTTAAAACCTTTTTCCAAAACTTGTCGAGTTTTATTTTCCACTAAAAAAAGAATTCCTTTATTTCCTATTATTTAGGTACAACAGAGACCATAAAATTTAATGCTTCTAATTATGAAATTAATTTTTAATTTTCGAAATTAAAGTCCACCATAGTAAATTAGGAATTATTCTACTAAAAATTCATAATTGCACTCCTTATTCAATTTTGAAACTCACCTATTAAATCTTATTCAACTCCTGATTTTAAGATTCATATACTAATTAATTAAATTAAAGTACTGATAGTTAATTTATTAATTATTTCTTTTAGACTTTTGTTTAACTTATTTCATGTATCGGATACAAAATTCATCGGCCGAGTTTACACATGAAAACTTATAAGCTTCCATAAAAGTGTATCATCAATCTCTAAATAGAGACATGAATTCCATCAACTAACTATTACTTCGCCAATGTAAATTATTATTATCCAATTAATTAGGAAAATTGACCCACCAAAGAATCTCGCTTTTTAATAAATAAAAATAAAAATAATATACACAACTAATAATAATTATATCAAGATTAAGAGTATAAGTACATTTGATGACTAGAGAATTTATTTTCTCGAGTCAGTATAAAATACTTATCTCTACTGGTTCGTTCAATACATACAAAATGTACTAGTACAAGAAATCGGAATAAGCCATTCCCATAATCAAGATAAATTATATTTAATCTTGTACTATAATCATTCCTGATGGTTTGTCCAATTCCATCATTAGATTGTGAACTCAAACTTTATACTTATAAGAACCGATGATTTAATCTTTCGTGTATAAGTTATACTCTATACATTAAATCATCAACTATATAAGCAAATGACACATATTTCTGTATGATCTATTTAAAACTTTATTAAAATTAAATAATAATTATTCCATAATGAAATACTATATCTAAACCAAACCAAACAAAACCCATGATTAATAGTATATATCCTAATAATCTCCCACTTAGACTTTTGCTCATGAAAATTATTAGAATATACTATATTCAAACGCATGGTTAATAATATATGTCCAACAACTTTCACTTAGACTCATAACCGTGCATCTACAACTTTCTCAGGCATTCTTTTTCATGACTGTTAAAAGTCTCCGCCAATAAGGTTTTGTTAAAGAATCTTGTCAAGTTATTTCCTGGTGCAATCTTTGTCCAGTAGTTGTTACAGAGTCAATTTTTCGCAAATTGCACTGCATGGCATCAACTGACACTCAAGCCACTCAGCCTTACTTTCCCCCCCTCAATTTTAGGACTTAGAATATTTTTAGACTTGTAAACAAAAGCACACAACACTTACGGATAAAACACCCAACCTTTTATTATTCTCATGGAATATAACAAGGACTCATGTTGGAAGGCTCCTAATATGCTACTTGCTTTAGCCAACGAAATACACATACATAAAGGGAGCTGTCAATGACAGTTATAGTGCAATTACAAGAAATTACATGGGGCGTGCATGATTCCTACGAAATTATTCCTCCTTCAGCCTTCAAGCCAACTGACTCATGTGCACTGCACATGGCATAACTTCCACAGCACATGTACATCACACTTCCTTCCAATCATATTTTTTGCACACTTGTTCCAGCTTCGCCCACACTTTACTCAGCCTGCCTTGCCTTGTCTTTTAGACCATGATTCACACATAATCAGCTCATGACAATGCTCTTTATATCCATGCTGTCCCATTAATCCACACACGTGCCTTTGTCAAGTGCCATGTGCCTGCTTGCCTTCATTTGCCAAAACCGTCGTCCAGAACCAAGGCTGCCTTGTCATCACTCAAGGCACCTTATCAAGCTGACCCACCTAAGTCCCATGCACCAACTTAGGCACACTCCCAGCTCCGCATATTACTTACAAACACCTACAAGAACCCATGTCAAGGGACAATGTACAAGCCCTTGACATTGGTTCAGCCCGACATCCCTCACGTTCCAACATTAGGGGTTAACAATTCACCTCCACTAGTTGAACTCGACGTCCTCGTCGAGGATGATTTCAAATAGTCCCCTATTTGATGTTCATGTTGCCAAAATGAAGCGCCCTTTTCCTAAGTTGCATCTGCCTTGGGCTTTCCTTTCCACCAAATCAAAAATTCCGTTCGCCTATTCTTCTTGTGCATACCAAGAACCTGGTGGTCATGAAACTTCTAATTTTTTCCTCAAGCTGAGTGCGTATCTTAGGAGGAGCTCTCTTTATCTTATGTCTATCCAGATCTGCAGGATTTTCAATGTAGCTTTAGAAACTCACATGGGAAGTTGAATGTATTTTCATTCATTTTGGAAACTTTAATCGCTAAGCAACTTCACCAACTTTTTCAGCAACTTCAAAAGGACCATCGTGCCTTGCGACCAATGCTCTATGCCTCCCCTGACTGTCAATCTTTTTCCAAATATGTGGAGTAAGCTTTAACAGCACCTTATGACCCACTTTAAACTCCAAGGGGCACCTATTCTTGTCAATATATTTCTTAATTCCTTTTGTGCCTTTGTCAAGCTATCTCATCCCTCTTTGATCATAGCTTGTCTATCCCAACAGTAGCGTCAAGCAACTAAACATTTACCGCCAGTCTTTTGTTGTGCAATCATAGCTGGCTGAGTAAGTTGTTTCCCTACAACAATTTCAAACGGACTCATCTCCGTTGTTGAAGACTTGTGCAAGTTATATGAGAATTGTGCACAGTCTAGAAAATCTATTCAGTTGCATTGACTAGCAGTCGCAAAGTGCCTCAAGTATTCCTCCAATAGATGATTAATTCTCTCAGTTATGCCATCAGTTTAGGGATGGCCGTCATTGAAAACTTCAAGTTCGTTCCCATTAAATTGAACAAATATGTCCAGAACCAGCTAATCAATCTAGCATCCCTATCACTAATAACATCCTTTGGCATCCAAAATATTTTACCACATTATTGAAGAACAATTTAGCAAAAACCTTTGAAGGACACTCTGTGGAGCAGCAAGAAAAACAACATATTTGAAAATATGTCAACCGCAACCATGATTGACGACAAACCATTGACCTTAGGGAACCCGCAGATAAAGTCCATCGAAATAAATTTCCATGAATCTTCTGGAATAGGCAGAGGTTGTAGCAAACCTGCCTCCTTCTTCCGCTCAGTTTTAGCAAGTTGACACACAAGGCAACTCTTAATATAAGCTTCCACATCATGCTCCATCTTGGGCCAAAAGTAGGATCAGGATAGCAGGGCCATCATCCTTTCAATCCCAGGATGACTAGCCCATAGAGTATCATGTGTCTCCTTTAATAGTTTACGATGCAGCCCATCACCAAGTGGTACTACGATTCTCCCCCTTTGAAATAGAGGAGATCGTCCTTGATGTAGTACCGCCTTACTATACCTTCCCTCACATGATTATTGTTTTGATATACAATGGATCGTTGGCATCACACGACTTGATTTTATCAAGAAAATTAGATTCAAGTCGAGTAATGGAATAAACAATAGTAAATATCTCCTTTCGACTCAATGCATTGGGTAATTGATTGTGTCTTCCCGGCTTATGTGCCCGAACAAAATCATATTCTTCCAAGAATTCTTGCTAACGTGCCTGCTTCGTACTTAGCTTTTTCTGTGTCTTGAAAAATATATTAGCCATATTATCCGTTCTCACGACGAATTTGGTACCCAGCAAGTACACACGCCAAATCTGCAAGCAGTGGCTTACAACAACTATTTCTTTTTCATGAGCCGGATATCTTTGCTTTACTTCATTCAACTTTCTGCTTTTAAACTTCACTGGATGGTCTTCTTGTACCAACACACCTCCAACAACCTTGTCGGAAGTATCTGTATGAACTTCAAAGGGTAGTTCAAAATCTAGAAGCCGCAAGATAGGTTTTGTGCCAATAGCTTCTTTCAGCATGAAAAATGCACCATTGCATTTTTAAAGCATGCCCAAGAGTGTATACCAAAGTATGATTTTACTTAGTATTCTCCCACTATAACGAAGTACTACAAATGTTACCTTTATTACCTTACAATATTGAAATATTAATGACTTCTTACTATAATATTCACTGTTCAAACCTCACGCCCACTAGAAATAGGTATATTATGTCTATTAACGTTCTCCCACTACTTAAATGTAATGGAACATCAATTCCGATATGTGAATTTTGATGTTCTTGAACATCT